TATATAACCCAACTTTTGAGTTGATTTTTGGTGTGAGAAAACATAATATATAAAAACTAGGTAAATTTTTACCATATTAATACGAAACCAACCGAGGTATTCAACATGGGCAGAGAGAATCTGAAGTAGGGTTACTTTTCCTTTGATGATAGCACACAAATCCAGGCAATCACCAACTACAATCGATGAAATTTGGATTGATTATATTCATAAAAAAGAGCTGGCATATATAGTAAAGAAATAGGATCTTCATTTGGGAAATGTCATCATAAAAAATGCATTGACGTTGAACTCAAGAGCATTGGGTATATATAGGGCATGATATTTAGGAGAGCGGTCCCAATTTTATTGGAACTAAGTTCATGCACCTTGTAGTAGCTGGAATTTTCTTCTTCTTTCTTCCCAAATTTGAATCTTAATTAGTCATAAAGTTGAGTCAATGTACAAGGCTAGAATATAGTTTAGTCGTATTAGTAAAAAAAATTTACATAATAGGTGTAAGTTTGATTCTCACGGTCTTTTTTCCCTCGCCTTCCTCTTCCCTCACGTCACAGAACAAAGTTATTTAAGAAAATGTCAATTCTATGTTGCACTCAAAAAATAGTTTTCAATCACATTACTAAATCAATTCAAATACACAAATTTAACCTTGGATAAGACCACTATATGTTTCAATCTAATTAATGCCATCTGATAAGGTCATTTACAAGACCAAAACTTCAAAGCCAAGAAATCAAGATAATTTGTTTAGCATAATTAACGATAAAACAACAATTAAGTATGATACGTTGAATTTTTACATGTTAAAAATGTTAGGTTTTAGTTTCAAAAACCTCCCTGTACTTTCATGTTAAAACAATCACTCCCTGTACTTTCAAAAAAGACATAACGAGGGAAAAAATAAAAGGGGGAGAGAAAAGAGAATCAAAGGCCTAAACGGGCAACAACAATAATTGGTCAGATTTTTAGGACCCATATCTTGGTACAATATTATATCTTCAGTAAAAGAAATATAAGTATAGAGATTTATTTGCTTCCCTCTTCTAATTAAACTCTTAAATACCTCCTTGTTTGGGTAAAAGATAGAGTAGAGGATGTCAATAGTTCAAAATAATTTTGCCAAAAAACTTCTCCTTTGCAATAAAATAGAAGAGGAAAATGAAGAAAAAGAAATGGAGTAAATGTGCTTCGATAAACGGGTAAATCCAAAACTAGCGTATAAGGAATTTAAACAACCAATACAAAACATTTGCTTTCAGCTGCAATAAAAGATCTGGCAAGTGTCTTTAATTTGGGCAATGAATGTACTTTGAACCCTTAATACAGCTCATGCATCGAAGAAAAACTCTATTTATTACCAACACGGATAGTAATAAAGTGATAAATATTCATTCAACTTTAATTAGAAGTTTTGGGTTCAATCCCTGGATATAAAGTTGCATTTGTTAAAGAGCGCTTTATTTTTTAATGTGAGATTTTTTAGCGCGAATCCGAATTCAATCAGACTCTAATACGAGTATCGAATACTGGAAAAAAAAACTTTGCTTATTGGTTGACCTTGACATCGTTGACTTTCTACTGATTTATCTTTAGCTTTATTTAAAGTTTTGGTCTGACTATTAAATAAGTTCAATATTCCCTGGGTTGTTACCTGTCCAAAGATTTAGGCTTATCCATTCTTGATTCATCCCACTTGATTACTATTAGCAATTTGGTTAAACTCACATTTAATACTTCAAATCAACTATTAATACTTCAAGTATAAGCAAATATCCTGTTCTCCACTGTATAGTATGTAGTAAAGTATAATTGGATTGAAATCTTATTTTTTGTGTGTGGTAATTTTGTAAAATCAAAGTTTCTTGGTAACCTTGTGCTGAGAACAGTTTGATCTGCAAGAACAATAATATACCCGGTGTAATTTTATAAGTGAGGTCAAGGGAGGATTTAGTATGCGTAGACCTTACATTTACCTTATGTGAGGTGGGGAGAATTCTGATAGACCCTCGGCTAAAGAAAAGCATTTTAAAAAAATGTTTGAAAAATACAATAGTAAAGCACAATTTGATATGCAATGTCACGAATTCGTATACTAATATCTCCTTGTTTATGCTAATTTTAGTTTAGTTTTTCATGTTTTATTGTTAACATTGTAAAATTAAAGAAGAAAAAATTAGTGAATGCCGTAGTGTTTCAAAATTTGTTCACGTTATTCAAGACCATTGAAATCGTAATACAATATCTCTAGTGCCTCTCGTTCATTAACTGAATGTAAAAGATTTTAATTTTGGATTAGTTTCATCTTAAAATCAGTAATTAGAAATCTATGGCTTATTAGAGGTTTCAGGTTTGAATTATGTAAATACAAAAAAATTGTGGCAGAGATATTTCCTCTTTAATGAGCCTTACATAACGCGAATCTAAATTAATCGCGGCTCAATACAAATACCAAATACCGGATGAGAAAAAAAAAAAAAGGTGACCATACCTTCCTCTAAACACTAGCAATCAAGGATTCACTCTTCCTGCAAGATAAAAGAAAAAGGGTAGTGAAATCTAAGTTGACAGGAGCCAAAGATTTACAGTAATTAATTCAAGGAAAAAAATACAAAAAACAAAGAAGAACTTTTGAAATTGTGTATAACTTTCTTCGACAACTTTGCCTCCATTTCCGATTCAATTACACAAGCCTTTGAAAACATATATTTTTCAAAATATGTTACTTTGTTCACTCTCTATTGAATGTGATGTTTCACTTGAAAACAAAATTGACCCACGTTGATAATTAATATCAGATTTTTTTCTTAAAATGCAAAAAAAAATAAAAAAAATCATTATACTCCTCTATAACTTTAGTTATTTATGTTTTATTTCAGAAAACAAAAGATAACATGTCACCACAAAAAATAAATTAAGTTCAATATTAATTAAGATGCAGATCAAATTACTCGCTCTTTCCAATTCATATAAAAGCAATTGTAGTTTGAGATAACATAAAATGTTTTATCCAAAATTATTTTAAACGACTTAGACAAGATTCAAAGAACTCAAGACCATTCAAATTATTAGACGTAAAATACAATCAAACATCTCTATAATAATCTCGTTTCTTTCGATATTTATTGGCTTCTATAGTAAAGCATTGCGAATTAATTCTTAGTTTTATTTATTTTATTTTTATTGTATTGTTAAAAAGGACATATATTATAGTAACATACTATAAAAATTGATTTCGAGAAAAACTTGACTTTTATAATCATGATATTATTATATATATATATATAGATTGATACAGAAGGATCTGAATGTATATTGGTATCTAATGAAATACTTTGAACTCCATATACATAATCAAGTAACACAACAAAAATTGAGACGAATAGAGAGTAAATATAAAATATTCTAACCGCATATCTACATTACATAAAATGTTGGCAAAGAAAGGAGTAGAATCAAGTGGGAAACCTACAATCTCCATTACTCTCATGTCTTTTCCTTCCACATAATGACACAATATGACTACGACACCATTCCACACCCAACGCTCGTCCCCTCTTTTGAAAGCACACAAAGATTCATTACCATACCAAACCCCTCAACGTCGACTTAGGCGTTTGTCCATAAATTTTTCTTTTCTTTTTTCTATTTTTTTTATTTTTAAAAATGTATTTGTACATAAAATTTTGCAAGTTTTTGAAAAAATTTCGAAAATAAATTTTTTAAAAATCAAACTTTTCAAAAAGATTTTCCCCACTCACAAAGCTGCAATACTTTTTTCAAGTGAAATGCATGTCTAAATGTAATTTCAAATTTCAAATACCATTTTCCAACTTAACTTCAAATACTACTTTTTCCCAAAAATTATAATTTTTATGTCGAAATGCCTGCCCAGGTGCATGACGGAGCTAGATCTTTGAATATGTATTCAGAAAAATTAAGTAGCTTTTATTTTAATTTTATATTTGTAACTAGTAACTAAGATATAATGAAAGTTCAGAATCTATAAACTTAAATTCTGGTTGAGTATGCAGTAGGTGGAATCACTTCCAAGTTCCAAGTTCTTTACCCATCCTCTGAAAGTGCGTTTCTTGCGGGCAGATATTGATTCACTTGTCCCTTGCTTTTTTGCAAGGATCGCATACTATTAATGTATGTACTTTGTCCCAACATTTTACTGCTCCTTTAATTCTTACTGAAAAATCATGGCAGAATTTGAAATACAATTGTCAAAATAATTCTATGCGGTTGGAAAGTATTGAGTTGAATTTATAAAAATAATATCTCAAGTTCAAGTTGAGAAATAGTTTGCGTGCATTATTTCTTAAACATTAGTGGTACAATTATCTATGTTGGTTGAAAATAATAGATAAATAAAATAATTAAATTGCGTGCAAATTAAATTGAACACTATTTGTATAAAAAAAAATATTGTGCGAGGAGCCTCCCTCCCCCCTTCCCCCTCTTCCCAAAATGATCACAAACTTAGATAGCGTTTGTTCATAAAAAAAGGTTTCCTTTTTAAAAATTTAAATATATTTATCCATGAAATTTGTTAGTTTTTGATAAAAAATTAAAAATAAATTTTTTCATATCTAAATATAATTTTAAATTTTAAATATTATTTTTCAACTTAAATGTAAATACTAGTAATTTTTATGTTGAAACGCTTACTTAGTGTTTCAATTCATTGCTAAGACTTGGGCTTTATCCATTGCCCGCCTTTTGATGTGCAATCAATTAAAGTGATGGTAGTATTTCCCGTAATCAACCCCACTTCCAACCGAGAGGTAAGCAACCTCCACTTTCAATCAAGAGGTAAGCAACCCCCACTTTCAATCAAGAGGTTGTGAGTTCGAGTCTCCCCAAGAACAAGGTGGGAAATTCTTAGAGGAAAGTATACCGAGTTTCTATTTGGAAACAGACTCTCTGCCCTAGGCTAGGGGTAAGGTCTGCGTGTAGTATTTCCCGTAAACCTCTCCTAAATCCTCCCTGCCTCACCAAACCTCCCTTCGGCTTTCCCCCACAAGAACCTTCCTCCTCTACAACCCCTTTATATACCTATCTTTTCTTCCTCTCCTTTTTATACAAACAAAAATTGATCCCTCTCTTTCTTTCTCTGTGTACAGAAAAGATAAGGTCGAGCGCATAGTGTTTCAGTTGTATATTCATTTCAAAACAAAATACTCTGTTTCTGAACCTCAGTTTGCTCTGTTTTCCCCAATGGCTTCTTCCTCTGTTTTCTTCACTCTTTTCACTTTCTTCTCACTCTTCCTTTTCTCCTCCTCCGCAGAAACATTAGTTTTCCCTTTAACACATTCTTTCTCGAAAACCCAATACAACAGTACTCATCAGCTCCTCAAATCCACCTCCGCTCGCTCCGCCACTCGCCTCCACCACCACCGTCAAGTCTCCCTCCCTCTCACTCCAGGAAGTGATTACACGCTCTCCTTTTCCCTTGGCTCTCAAACTATTTCCCTCTACATGGATACTGGAAGCGACGTCGTTTGGCTCCCTTGCCACCCTTTTGACTGTATTCTATGTGAAGGCAAGTATAACCCTTGTACTATCCCTAACCCGGGCCCACTTAATCTCACCTCTGCTGTCCCCGTCACGTGCAAGTCACGCTCCTGCTCCGCCGTCCACTCCTCTATGTCTTCCTCTAACCTCTGCGCTATGGCGAAATGCCCGCTCGAAGACATTGAAATTTCCGACTGTAAATCTTACACGTGTCCACCTTTTTACTATGCTTATGGCGACGGGAGTTTCATTGCGAAATTATATAGCGATAAATTATCAATGCCCACGTCATCGCCGTCGTCGCTAATTTTGCATAATTTTACGTTCGGCTGTGCTCACAGTGCACTTGGTGAACCTATTGGAGTAGCTGGTTTTGGCCGTGGGAGACTTTCTTTACCGGCTCAACTCGCTATTAACTCACCGGAAATCGGAAATTTCTTCTCTTATTGCTTGGTTTCTCATTCTTTTGATACTACAAAAGTTCGTAAACCGAGTCCGCTCATTCTCGGTCGTTACTCAGTTGATGAAAAAATGAAGCAAATGAAAGATTACGAAATTGGTTATGCTTATACTCCTATGCTCGAAAATCCAAAACACCCGTATTTTTACTGCGTCGGACTTGAAGCAGTGACTATAGGGAAAATGAAGATTCCGGCGCCGGCGAGTTTGCGGCGAGTCGACGGCAGAGGAAACGGGGGAATGGTGGTGGATTCTGGTACGACTTTTACTATGTTGCCGCATGTGTTTTATGAAACAGTGGTAACTGAATTTGATAAACGAGTTGGACCGGTTTATAAGCGAGCGAACCCGGTCGAGGAACGAACCGGGCTTAGCCCGTGTTACTATTTGGATAAGGGTTCTTCAAATGTGCCACAGCTGCTTTTACATTTTGGGGGTAATTCCAGTGTGGTGATGCCTAAGAGGAATTACTTTTATGAATTTTTGGACGGTGGAGATGATGGGAAGTTAAAAAGGAAAGTGGGGTGTGTGATGCTGATGAACGGTGGTGTTGAAGAGGAAAGTGGGCCCGCTGGGTTATTGGGTAATTATCAGCAACAAGGGTTTGAGGTTGTTTATGATTTGGAAAAGAAGAGAGTTGGATTTGCCAGGAGGAAGTGCGCATCTTTGTGGGATGATTTGAACCAGCACTAATGTGCACCTTTGCGTAGCTGATCAGATTCGACGTTGACTTTGACTTTATGGTGAAGTCAAATTGGGTCGGACTACTTGATGAAATGGGTCGGGTAAGGATCCATGGATATTTTGGGAATAAGAAGTGGAATGTGGTTGATATTTTTTCTATTTTGTCATTGTATAGCTGGAGTTTTGGTACATATTAGACAAAAATAATTTGAAATATAGAAGGGAGAAATGAGGCAAAATGAATAAAATGTGTATGTAAATTTGTGGCATTGGATTTGTTAAATTCTTTTTTTGTTTTTGTAGATTATGTAAACTGGTGCTGAATGTAATTATTTTTGAAGATATTTATGATATTTGCTTTGTGTAATTATAAAAAATTATTAGGACATTAAAATCAAAGCCAATCAAATGCGCTTGCTGTAAATTTCTTTGATAGAATTATAGTGGGAAGGAGTCTTTGGCATTCCAATAATTTTGTGGAAGTTTACAATTATTGATACGTCCTCAAACTAAACAATGGCAGGCTCTCGCTTGTAACAAACATTTTTCTTTCCCTTTCTTGAAAATTGCCGAGTACAAACTTAGGTACAAAGTCATATGAACACAGAAGTCTTAAATTTAATTCAATTTAATTCGAAAGTTACGAACATTTCGAAATATAGACTTTATCTCATAAAGAGTTCTAGTTTCATTACTGTAAATTTATTGAATTTCGATTCAATACTTTCCAACAGCACGAAAGGTACAATTTTTAGGAATCAGAAACTGTTAAGTCAGCTTGAGTGAATCTTCAGCAAAGTAATGAATCGAAAGATATTGTGTATCATGCTGCCTGCTTCATCAAATTTTTGTTTTGGTGTGAACCTATTGGTCACCGTTTTGAGACGTGAAAGTAGATATTAGTACTTGTATTAAGAAATGCTATTTACATTATACTGGTAGAAATGTGATTCTTTTTTGAACCCCGTGTAATGTTTTATACACCGAACTACTTTTTATTTTATTTTAGCATGGGCACTTGTTGAAAATCATAATTTTCCTCGAAGCTTCAAGACAAATCTTTTTGCCACGTCCCACTAGTAGAAGGAGTTTATTAGACGCACTCATTAAATTAGTGTCACAAAATTTCATATTTGTCAAAAAAAAATTGGCCTCAAACTCAATGGTAAACTATGTACTAAGCTTGTGGATTTGAACCGATATTTCAATATTACAGGAGTAAATACTGAACTTTTATATTTACATATAGTATTTGACATTAAATAAAAGGAAAAATAAAATAATATCGAAAAGTACATTTCAAGTTAAATATTGAGAAAGTTTCAATGCTTTCAAACATGTTAAGTTCGTGTTCATAGAGAATTAAACTTTCATAACTTCTTAATTCAACTTCACAAATACTCCCTCCGTTCACTTTTACTTGACACATTTTGACTTTTCACGCTTCTTAAAGAATAATAAATAAATTGCATAGTTTACCATGATACCCATATTAACCGATACATATTTTATTGAATTTGATAAAATAATTGAAATGAGTAATAAATATTGTGGGTATAACAAGAGTTTTTTTGTCTTCTCTTGATATGCGTACAGTTATAAATAAAAATAAAAATTTATTATTAATATATATGTCAAATAAAAGTGGACAGAGAAAATATTATTTTTCCACTTTAATTCCGATATATTGTCCAATAACCAATTTAATTGAGTTGGAAGGGGAGCCAAAAATAAAGAAAATGACAAAGCACGCCGCCAATGGGATTTCAGATATTGCAGAAATCTGACGTCATATAAATAAGAGTCGCTAGTTTCGAAGACAAAAAGGTGGCCCTAAAATTTAAAAACGTGTGTGTCCGCTCATCGCTTAGCTGTCTCCCACTGTGTATTTGGTGCACTTCCCTATTAATTACACATACGTGTGCACTCATTATTATTTATCAATCCTTTTCGTTTCGTTTGTTTTTTATATGACGTGTCACTCTCTCCAGTTCTCCTTACAAATTGTTCGCATTAAACATTCTGCTTGCTTAACGTACTACTCCTACGTATAATTTTCTTCATTTTATAAGATGTTTTTGAAATAATGATATTTTAACATTTAAACTCTTTATTTTAAACTTAATATTTACTTTTATAATCATGAAAAATTATGATACGTCTAATACGACAAGTCTAAGGACATTTTTAGTATATGTGAAACATTTTTTATTTTATTTTTAAAATTTTTGCATTCAATTAAAAATTATTATGTACAATAAACAAAAGAAATAACAACCACGTAACTTCTTATCGATAGAACTTTCAATATAATTATCGATTACTTTAGCTTACCCAAATGGGCAAATTATTCCCCTTACAAAGAACTTAACTGTTAGTTCGAGATTTGGTGAGAGGCAGCCGTAGGACTGTGCGTAATTTGATAAATACCCATTTTTTGTACTGAAATAAATTTTTTTAATATTTGATATTCAATATAGTATATGGTTTAAGTTTTAAAAAAAATGGTATTAAATATAGTATTTGGTATTTTAAAACGAAATACTGAAATATCGATACCGTACCAAAATATATATTATATTACACAATACACATATTATTAATTCTAAAATAAATATAAAAATTCTAAAATTTTACTTTCCTTTATTCTGTAAGTTCAGCAATTAACTCTAAGCAAATAATAAGACATTTCTAATGATCAAATTTATAGCCCGTTTGACCAAACTTCAAAAATCAGTTTATTTTGAGAAATACTTTTCTCAAAAGTACTTTTAGTGAGAAATAGTTTGTATTTGGCTAATTAGTTTGAAAAACACTTCTGAGCAGCAATTAGTGTTTGGTCAAGCTTTAAAAAATTGCTTCTAAGTGTATTTTTCTCAAAAGTGCTTATCAAAAAAGTATATTTAGAGAGAAGCTACTTTTGTCTGCTTCTTCAAAACTGCATCTGTTTCTCCTCAAAAGCACTTTTTTCCTTTCAGAAGCTTGCCAAACACCTCAATAATTGGCCAAAAAAAGCTTGGCCAAACAGACTATTATTCCTTTATGGACAAGTGAGGCTTGCTTAGTTGGTAAAAGCACCTCCACCTACGACCGTTAGGTCCTGGGTTCGAGTCACCATGGAGGGGAAGTGTGAAAACACTATAGATCCTCATAATTTGGGAGGGGTATAAAAAAAAAATTATTCCTTTATGTACAGTTTTCTCTCTCTGGGTTGATATTTGACAAAACTTTTATCAACAAACGTTTTTAATTTTGTACTTTTGAGTACTTTAATTAAGAATATTACAATCTATGACACTATGCACTAGTTAGTATTCAAAACAAATAAAACGAAGTTACTAAACCGAATAAATCGAAATTGAAAGCGAAAGGCGAAAAACCAAACCATATCGAATTTAATTAAGTAAGGTATTGGTATAACATTTAAGAAATCGAATATCGAAAATATCGAACCAAAATATCTAAATACCGCATCGTACCGATCGACGAACACCCTAGAGACAGGACTAGCTAGTAATATGTTTAGTACAAAACTAATTAAAATTATATGGAGATACTTCTCTGATACGATATCTACTGGAGTATATATGAATGATATTACACTTTACGTAATTAATAAAGAATAGTAGGTATAGCATGTAGAGGAACTTAAATTAGACTTTCAGTTTGACATTCGGGTTACAGTTTAGTAATTTAGTGGTCAATGGAGTNCCCCCCAAATATGATAAATAGAAGGCAAAATATCTTACAATTCTCTAAACTTGACACAAATTATTAATTTCTATCTTAAATTATTCGTGGTCTTAACTATCCACCTCAACTTGGCCTTTTTAGAGCCAATACCCCACTGGACGCTGATGTGGCAAAGAGTGTGGGTGCACTCGTCTGCCACGTGGATTTTTTTATATATGTGATTTTTTTTTAAAAATAAAATATATTTTTACCTTTATAAGTATGTTACTTTTTTAGATAATTTTTTTCGAATACAATTTAGGCAGAATAGTCTGGGAGACACTTGTACTAGTTTGGTTTTGTCATCTCGGTCCCTCTACTCTACAAAGTTTCAACCGGATACTTGAACTCGATCAAAATATAAGTTTTAAACATCTCTGTTGCTCACTCGCTTGACAGGAAAGACACATCATATCCACCTCAGCTAAATTAATGCCACATCATTATTTATTACAAAATATAGTATTTTTTATAAAAAATCCAAATCTATCCCCTTTTTCCAAAAAATAAAATCCCAAACAGTCCTTTCTCTTCCACTATTCCATTTCTCAATCTTATACCCGCCATAACCGGATATCACCACCCCTTCCTCCTTCGTCTGCAAATACATAACCAAACTCACATTTGGTTACAATTTTCAATCAGTTCTTGTTATCCCCATTGTATTACTGTTACCGGTGAATCTCTCCATAACCATCTGTACACTCCTCTTCTTCACTTTTAGTATCACTTCTCAAAATCCAACTACTCCCTCTGTCTACAACCTGTTTAGCAAAATACTACAGAAAGTACAATGCTTAACCACCACAATTTAAAATATCTCATAAAGTCAAAGTAAAATAAAGAAAACCATATGAAAATTATGAAATTCTTGTACTAGTAGTAGCATCTTCCCTGACACCATTGTTGAAATCGAATTTTAGAAGGGGAACTAAAATTGAAGCAGCCTGTTTCATGATTTAAGCCATAAATTTCAATTGATTATTTTGACTCCACTTAACAGCAAAAAGTAAACATGCAAGTGATTATTTATACTAACCTCGGAAAATCCATGAATTCAGGTCTTCTCATAAGAAATTAAAAAAAGAAAAACTCAAAATTAAATAAAATCATAGGGAATTTTTTTTTTTGATGGCAGAAACAGACGCTTTCAATAAGGGATTGCTTTGGGTTTTTTCTTTTTGGGCGGTGTGGGGTTGGGGGAGAAGAAAGGAACAAAAAGAAAATGCAACGAGATGGGGTGGGGTGCTAGGAAAAACGATTAAGTCTTCTGTTTTGCTTATGTTCATTTTTTTTTTTACTTTTTTGACTTTGTCTTTTTATTTGTTTTCTCATCTTATTTTAACAATTTATTGTTCGAAATATTCATATTCACTCTCACTGCCCCGCGTGAATTACACCCCTTTTGTCCAGCTTAATTTTTTGTTGCCACATGTACTCGGTCAAAGGTCAGAGGTATTTAAAAGTTCTGTTTTGCACGAGATCAAGTGTCCGGTTGAAACTTTGTAAAGTAGAGGGACCGGGATGACAAAACCAAACTAGTACACGTGCCTATCAGGCTATTCTGCCATTTATAATAAAACTTGGATGGTACTATATTATTTAGGCTAAATTTTTTTAT